GTCGGAGCAGGGTGCCACGGGAGCGGGCGGACGGGGGAGGAGCTGCGGTCCCAAGGGGCCTGTGGGCCGCAGGAGACCGCTGCGCTCGCGAAGCGCGTCAAGCAGCTCAGGAAGCTGGATCAGGCGGCCTCTCGGTCCGGTTCCGTTTGCCTGCCTGTTTGTTCTGTTCGGTTGCGTCTCAGCCCGGTCTGTTTTGTGTGACTGCTTGCAGGTTTGGTCTGGTTCGGGTTGCTTTGGTTGCCCGCCTGCTTGTTTTGCTCCGGCGTTCTGGCCCCCCCCTCGTGTTAGATGTGTGGTGATTGTAGTTTTTTTTTTTTCCTTCTCCCCGCCTCCTCGTCCCTAGTCCTTCCTTCCCCCTTCCCCGTTTCATCCGCCTCTCCCCTCCCCCCTGTCCCTCCTCTCCCTCCCCCTCTCCACCCTCTCCTCTCCTCCCTCTCTCCCTCTCCTCCCTTCCCCCTGTCCTCCCTCTCCCCTCCTCCCCCCTGCCATCCCTCTCTCCCCCCTGTCCTCTCCCGTTTCCTTCGCCCTCTCCTCTCCTCCCTCCCCCCACGCGTGGCTCTTCGATCGTGGCTTTTCTCGTACCTTCTCTCCCTCCCTCTCCCTCCCTCTCCCTCCTCCCTCCTCCTCCCTTCTCCTCCTCCTCCTCCTCCGCCTCCTCCTTCCTTTCCGCCTCCCTTTCCGCCTCCTCCTCGACCTCCCCCTCACCCTCTCCCCTGTTCACCGTTCCCCTCTCCCCCCACCGACCCCCCCATCCCCCCCCCGCCCTATCCCCTTTCTTGCCTTCCCCCTTGGCATCGTGCCTCGGCCGTCTTCCCTCTCTCCCTCTGCCCCTTCCTCCCCCTTCTGTCCCCGCCTTCCCTCTTCCCTCGGCTTCCTCTGCCCCGCCCCTCCTCCTCTCCTCCCCTCCGCCGTCGGTCTCCTCGCTGCCTCCCTTACTCGGTTTCGTCCTCCCTTCGTCCCCCTTGCCGCTTCCCCGCCTCCTCCGTCCCCCTTTATGTCGCGGGGCAGGCTCCTTCCTGCCCGGCTTCTCCCCCTTCCTCTTGCCCCTCCTTCTCCTTCCTCCTTTGTCTTCCCATGCCTCTCTCTTTCCCATTCCCCCTCGCCGTGCTTCTCTCCATGAGGGCGACGATCACGTCGAGGACGATGACAACGATGCCGACGCGGAGTACAAGAAGGATGATGAAGAGGATCAGGAGGAGGAGGAGGAGGAGGAGGAGGAGGAGGAGGAGGAGGAGGAGGAGGAGGAGGAGGAGAAGGATTATGAGGAGGACGGTGAAACAGCAGGGAGGCACTGAGAGGGAGGATGGTGGATGGAGGAGAGAGAGGGTGGGAGAGGGGGGGGAGAGGAGAAGGGGGGACTGGGGAGAGGCGAGAGAGAGGAGAAACGGAGGCCGCCTGATCGCCTGCTCGTTTTATTGCATGGTTTGGGCGACCTGATCGCAGTAACTGGAACTGGTGCAGTTCACTAGCGTGTTCCATGTATACCAGCAGAGATGTGCGAATGAAGATTCTTTCCAGGTATGGTTCCAGGTCTTCCAGATCGTAATCAGCAGGCATGGCTGTAAGACTGCCGCTAGGAGAGAGAGAGAGAGAGAGAGAGAGAGATCGAGAGCGAGAGAGAGAGAGAGAGATACATAAACAGATATCGAGCGGAGACAGAGAGTGAGAGAGAGAGAGAGAGAGAAAGAGACACAGAGAGAGAGAGAGAGAGAGATAAAGGCAGAACGAGCAAGAGAAAACTATATATATATATACATACATAGAGAGAGAGAGAGAGAGAGAGAGAGAGAGAGAGAGAGAGAAAGAGAGAGAGAGAAAGTACGCGCAGGACAGGGACACACATATACACATCTATAGATATACAAAAATAGTTGTGTATTGGGGAGAACTGTTGTAAGAAGGATGCTGACGAGGACAATGATGATGCTGCTGATGATGATGATTGTGATGGTGATGGGTGATACTGGCGATGACGATGCTCTTGATGATGATGATGTTGATGGTGATGATGACGATGAGGATGCTGATGTTGCTGATGATCCTGATGGGGATACTTGACTGTTATTGTGATGATGGTGCTGCAGCTGATGATGATAATGATGAAGACGATGCTGATGCTGATGACGATGATGATGTTGACGATGGCAATGATGATGCTGAAGCTGATGATGACGATGATGATGATGCTGATGCTGTTGATGACGATGATGATGCTGATGCGGATGAATAGGATGACGATAATTCTGGCGACGACGACGAGGACGACGACGATGACGGACGTCGATGATTCTGATGATGATGCTGCTGATGTCGATGCTGCTGATGATATGCTGATGATGATTATGATGATGCCGCCGACGGCGGGGACGACGGTGACGATGATGATGCTGATGATGACGATGTTAATGCCGTTGACGATGAAGATGCTGATGATGATGCTGATGCTGATGCTAATGCGGATGCTGATGCTGATGATGATGATGATGCTGATGATGGTGCTGATGCTGATGATGAGTGTAGATTCATGGTTGTTATTTTTGATGATGCTGATGCAGATGATGATGGTGTTGCTGATGCTGATACGGGTGGTGTTGATGATACCGAAGATACTTGTGATGCTGATGCTGATGATGCTGCTGATGATGATGCCGATGCTGATGATGACTATGATGCTGATGATGCTAATGCTGATTCTGATGATGATGCTGATGCTGATGACGTCGATGATGATGATGTTGATGCTGATGATGACGCTGCTGCTGCTTATGTTGATGATGCTGATGATGATGCTGCTGATGATGGCGATGAGGATCCTGCTGTTTATGATTCCCCAATCAGAGCTTGCCTCTGTCGGGGTCCTAGCGGATTAAATGGTTAGGTGAGGTTTGTCGCCGATTTCGGTGGCCGGGCCCGGGTGCCCGGGTGCCCGGGTGTCCGGCGGTGCCCGGGTGCCGGGGTGGCCGGTGAGGTGTGTGGCCGATTTCGGTGGCCGGGCCCGGGTGCCCGGGTGCCTGGGTGCCCAAGGGTGCCCGGGGGTGCCCAATAGCCCAATAGCCCAATAGCCCAGTAGCCCTATAGCCCTATAGCCGTATAGCCCTACAGCCGTATAGCACTATGGTCCTATAGCCCTAGAGCCTTAGAGCCCTATAGCTCTAGAGCCCTATAGCCCTATAGCCCTATAGCTCTATAGCCCTATAGCCCTACAGCCCTAGGGTTCTATAGCCCCTATAGCCCAATAGCCCAATAGCCCTATATCATTATACCCCTATAGCCATATAGCCCATATAGCCCCATGACCCAACAAAAATCTGTTTGTTTTTTTTTCTCCGGTATCATGATGATGATAGTGGCGATGATGGTGCTGCTGCTGCTGCTGATGATGATGATGATGATGATGATGATGATGATGATGATGATGATGATGATGATGATGCTGATGCTGTTGCTGATGATGAGTATGATGCTGATGATAAGAAGGGTTGTGCTGGTGGTGTTTGTGGGGATGGTCATGAGGATGATGGCAAGATGAGGACGACGATGACAATGATGATACTGATGATGCTGATGCTGATGATGATGCTGCTGATGCTGATGCTGATGCTGATGATGCCGGCGACGATGACGATGGCGACGATACTGATGCTGATGATGCTGATGATGATGATGCTGATGATGTCGACGATGATGATGATGATGATGATGATGATGATGATGATGATGGTGGTGATGATGATGATCATGCTTATGATGATGCTGCTGATGATGATGATGTCGTTGATGATGCTGATCCTGATGATGATGATGATGATGATGATGATGATGATGATGATGATGATGGTGCGGCTGGGGATGATGCTGATGCTGATGATGATGCTGATGATGATAATGATGCTGATGCTGACGATGCTGATGCTGATGGTGATGATGAAGATGATCATGATGATGATGCTGATGATGGTGCTGATGATGATCATGATGATGACCATGGCTGTGATGCTGACTATGATGATCATTTTGGTGACGCTGATGTTGTTGATGCGGATGATGATGTTGATGATGATGATGTTGTTGCTGGTGATTCTGATGATGGTGATGATGATGATGATGATGATGATCATGATGATGATGATGATGATGATGATGATGATGATGATGATGATGATGCTGACGAAGATTCTGATGATAAGGCTGATGACGACTATGATGGTGATGCTGCTGATGCTGTTGATGATGCTGATTATGATGATGATGCTGTAGTTGATGATGCTGCTGCTGATGATGATATTGATGAGGATGCTGGTGATGATGATGATGACGACGACGACGACGATAATGATGATGATGATGATGATGATGATGATGATGATGATGATGATGATGATGATGATGATGATGATGATGATGATGATGATGATGATGATGATGAAGATGATGATGATGATGATGATGATGATGATGATGATGATGATGATGATGATGATGATGATGGTGATGATGATCGTCGTGGTGGTGGTGGTGATGATGACGAGGAGGAGGAGGAGGAGGAGAGAGGAGGAGAGAAGGAGGAGGAGAGGAGCAGATGGCGGAGGAGCAGGAGGGGGGGGGTGGGAGAGGAGATGGGAATGGGAAGAGGAAGAGGAGAGAGAGGAGGAGGAGAGAGAGGAGGATGAGGAGGAGGAGGAGAGGAGGAGGAGGAGGAGGAGGAGGAGGAGAGCGAGGAGGAGGAGGAGGAGGATGAGGAGGAGATGCGGAGGAGAGGAGGAGTGAGGAGAGGGGAGTAGAGTAGGAGTAGGAGTAGGAGTAGAGTAGGAGTAGGAGTAGGAGTAGGAGTAGTGAGTAGTAGTAGTAGTAGTAGTAGTGTAGTAGTATAGTAGTAGTAGTAGTATAGTAGTAGGTAGTAGTAGTAAGTAGTAGTAGTAGTAGTAGTAGTATTAGTAGGAGGAGGAGGAGGAGGAGGAGGAGGAGGAGAATAATGAGTAGGCAGAAGGCGGAGTTGGAGGAGGAGGAGGAGGAGGAAGATGTGAATGGGGAAGCCAGTGGGGCTCTGGCATCTGGCAGAGGTGTAGCCATGTGCCCGCACCTGCTGACGCCTGCCCTACCTTTTCTCTCCGCCCCGCAGTGGTCTCGACTGCCAGGCTCGCGTTGGCCATGCGAGAGCTGCAACATGGCCGACAAGTTACTGGTGAGGTTAGCACGCAGGCGGGCAAGTTCATCTTACAAGTTTGCTTGTTCCGCGTCTTGGCGCCGCCGACGATGCCGAGCAGCCTTCTGGTGACTCTGCTTCAGTCGATGCGCATTTATATTGGCAGCGTCGTCGACGTCGTCGACCACGGGCGAACAAGAAGCGAAAGGCGAGTCTCGCATCCGCTTCGCCGCTTAATCCCTTCCGTGACGACTGGGCGGCGCTCCCGCTGCGCCGCAGGCAACGACGCCTGGCGGAGGCCGATACCTCCCCACGCCAGAAGCACGGCGACCTCGCCGGGGCAGTCCTGGCGCCGGAGACAGGGGAGGAGGCCAGCAGCCAGCAGGCAGGCGAGCGCCTTCGGCAGGCTCGTGCCTGCCGAAGGCGGGGAGGGCCAGCCGCAGGCCGCGGAAGAGAAGGATGCTGCGGAGAAGGGGCTCCTGCAGCACGTGCAAGCTGCGGATAGATCCAGCAGATCGGGGAGAAGCGGGCGTGCGCTTCAGGGATGGCCGCGCGCCTCGTCGTTCTCGTGGTCCGGCCGCTGCTCAAGGGAGGTGCATGCGCCTTCTGCCCCCGCGGCGAGGCCGATGGTCGTTGGGCCTTCCAGGCAGGTGCGGAGGTCCTTCGTGGCAGGGCAGCTTGGCATGAGCGCGCCGGGTCTCGCGCCCGGGAGGCGCGCCCGGCTTCGTACTCAGCGGGCTGCCTTCGGGCACCAGCATCGGGACGCAGCGGCCACTGCCCAAGCGATTTTGAAAGTTTTGCGCCCTCGCCGCCAAAACAGGGTAGCTGGGTAGCTTGGGGTGGCCGCTCTCTTCCTGCCTCTGGTAAGATGTGCGGCGCGATGGCATTGGAATTCTTGGCTTGTCCGTGGAAGGTCGCTCTGAACTGGATGCAGCCCTTGGTCTTCCAGCGTCAGCCCTTGTCGCCCTCCTCCGTTCGCGCCCCCGCGTCTTTCGGGGGCTACAGCAGCTACGTGGCATGTTGAGGTATTACCAGTTGATTTGTTATCGCTCGATCCTTCTGGCGTTTTTGTTGCTACTCGAGCCTTCGGGCGGGGGCTGGTGTCCAATCTCTCTGTGCTCTCTGTGCGTGATGAGTACACTTCGGTCGTGCGTCCCATGTGTCGAAGGCATAAGGGAAGGGACAATGATAATAATGGTTTGGATGAGGAGGATGAGGATGACCAGTAATTGGGTGATGGAGAGGACTAGGAGGACGAGCGGAAGGAGAGAGGATAATGGGGTGGGCGAGGATGACGGGGAGGAAGGAAGAGGGGCATGATCACCACGACGACGATGCTGCTGCTGCTGATGATAATGATGATGTTGATGATGACGATGCTGCTGCTGCTGATGATGATGGTGATGCTGATTCTGATGACGATGCTGATGACGATGACGATGACGATGACGATGATGATGATGATGATGATGATGATGATGATGATGATGATGATCATGGTGGTGGTGGTGGTAATGATGATGATTATGCTGATCATGATGATGCTGCTGATGATGATGCTGATGGTCCTGATGGTGGTGGTGGTGGTGATGATGAAAATGACCCTGGTGATGATGATCGGGATGATGATGAGGATCATGATGATGACGATGCGGATGATGATGATGATGATGATGATGTTGATGATGTGGTGATGGTGATTTTGACGGCGATGATCATATTGTTGATGACGATGATGCTGCTGATGACGTTTCTGCTGCTTATGATGACGATGATTGTGGCGGTGATGATGAAACTGATGATGATGACGATGGTGATGGTGATGAGGATGACCATGGTGATAGTGATTCGGATTGGGATGATTAGGATGATGGGGTAATGATGGTCTGATGGTGATGATGATGATGCTGGTGGTGATGATGGTACTGATTCTGCTGATAATGTCAATGATGTTGGCGGTGAGGATGATGATGATGATGATGCTGATGATGATGATGATGATGATGATGATGATGATGATGATGATGATGATGGTGGTGCTGATGATGGTGGTGATCATGATGATGGTTGTTGTTGTGGTTGTGGCGGTGATGATTGTGGTGGTAGCGATGAGGACATTCGCTATAATGGTGACTGTCACGTTGTTTTTGATGCTGTTGATGCTGATGTTGTTGATGATGCTGATGGTGATGCGGATGCTGATGGTGATGCGGATGCTGATGCTGATGCGGATGCCGATGATGATGATGTTTCTGTGTGGTGGTGGTGCTGCATTATGTTGGTGGTTCTGTGGGTGTTTGTGGTATATTATCATGATGGCGACGAGGCCAAATGGAGGACGCAGGGAAATATAAGGCGGAGGAGAAATTTTGAGTCACTGAGTGCGTGAGCTAATCGCCCAACACTACATCCACCTACGATAGCCCTCTTCCCCCAGCTGTTGCTCCTCCCGCTAGTCGGTTTTCCTCCTCCCTCGTTCTCCTCCTTCCTCCTCCCTCCTCCTCCTCCTCCTCGTCCTCCTCCCTCCTCCTCCTCCTCCTCCTCGCCCTCCTCTTTGCTACTCCTCGTCCTCCGGCCTCCTTCATCTTCCCTCCTCCTCCTCCAGTCTTTTCCTTGTAGATAACTTCTCCCTGTCGCACCCCAGGGCCAGTTTTTAGGGCGGGCCAGGCGTTTCGCCTGAGACTTCCTCACCATGTATGATACTGAAGCTTAAGAATTGGCAACGGTTTCACAGATGGAGGCCAGATGGTTTTCAAATGTGGCTCTCGCTTTAGCGCGGTGTACATTCGTTTTAAACATCTGCAAGAGTATTACGCATGGAGGGTGGGTCGTTTTCAAAATGTGGCTCTCGCCTTGCAGGAGTTTCACGGATTGAGGGCGAGTTGTATTTCAAAATGTGGCTCTCGCCTCAGCGTGGCGCACATTCTTGTTCCACAAATTGCAAGAGTTTCACGGATTGAGGGCGGTTCCTTTTCAACATGTGGCTCTCGCCTTAGCGCCGCGCACATTCGTTTCCAACAGTTGTAGGAGTTTTACGGATTCCCATCATCAGCGTATCAGAAATGGTTTTGGAAGGATTCAGGATAATGGGGGCGCAACAGTTACGTTGATTGTCTGTGTTGAAGTTGTAGGAATGGCGTTCTGGCATGATTCAGGATCGTCAAGACGCAGCAGTCAGGTTCATCGGTGGCGCTGGAATCCCGAGAACAATTTTTTGGCATGCTTCAGGGTCTTCAAACGGGTGTCTTCCAACGAGGCAGTTCCATCAATAGAAATGAACTGTTGTAGAGGCCTGTGCAGAGAGAGAGCTTGGAGGGAGGGCTTACTCCAACATCGTTGATGACTCTTGGGTTTACACTGGTCCTCCTCGTCCTCCTCGTCCTCCTCCTGGAGGAGCTCGCCCCCTCCTGAAGGAGCCCCCTCCCCCTCCCAGAGGAGCCCCCCCGCTTGCCCTCCCGGGGGGGGAGGGCCGACGGGGAAGCCCGCAGAGGTGCCCACCGACGAGTCCGGGCCCGTCGCGGTGTGCGCCGTGCCGGACTTCTCGCGGGAGGCCCGTCGGGGCGGGCCGCCATCGGCCGAGTGTGTAGGCCGCGGTGACTAGCGACGGCTGCAGCCACGAGGGGGAGGGGGGGGCGACGACGACCGCAGCGCCCGGCGCCGACGGCACCCACGGCGACGGCGGCGACGAGGAGGACGAGGGGCAGAAGGCTGGAGGGAGGGGGTTCAGGAGGAGGAGGCGGCGGATGGGGACGAGGAGGAGGGCGAGGGGAAGGAAGGGCAGGCTGAGGAGAAGGAGGTGGCTCTGATGCCCCAAGGCCCAACAGCTCTCAGACTTTCAGGCCGCCGCGCATGGGGTCCACTATCGGGCTTTCCTTCCCGCGCCCGAGTCACCCAGCCGCGAGGAGCGAGCTCCGAATTCAGAGCACAATGCCCTCGCCTGTAAGCCTATCCTGCAATGGAGCCAGTACACCCCAAGACCACATTACAAAACCCCTCCTTCCTCATCCTTGCAGATAAGCAGGAGCTTCCGTTCCCTGAACTTCAAGCGATACGGTCAACTTGGTGTGCTGGGTGTACGAAGAACCTGCAGCCACAATGCATTAAGACCTACCACCGTGCGGCCTGAAGGCCGTCTCTGCCCCAACGACTCTGGGGCACTACTGTCAAGTGCCAGGCGCCCCGAGTCCCGACCCCCATGCTGGAAGTCTGGCCCTGAAGCTTCAGTCAGGACACCCTGAGACCCTGAAGCCCATCCTCTTGCTGAAGTAGCTGGGAGTAGACGGTATTATTATTATTAGTATTATTATTGTTACTATTATTATCAGTAGTAGTAGTAGTAGTAGTCGTCGTAGTAGTAGTAGTCGTAGTAGTAGTAGTAGTAGTAGTAGTAGTAGTAGTAGTAGTAGTAGTAGTAGTAATAGTAGTAGTAGCCGTAGTTTTAGTAGTAGTAGTAGTAGTAGTAGTAGTAGTAGTAGTAGTAGTAGTAGTAGTAGTAGTAGTAGTCGGAGTAGTAGTAGTAGTAGTAGTAGTAGTCTAAGTAGTAGTCGTAGTAGTGTAGTAGTAGTAGTAGTAGTAGTAGTAGTGTAGTAGTAAGTGAGCCCATCCTCTTGCTGAAGTAGCTGGGAGTAGACGGTATTATTATTATTAGTATTATTATTGTTACTATTATTATCAGTAGTAGTAGTAGTAGTAGTCGTCGTAGTAGTAGTAGTCGTAGTAGTAGTAGTAGTAGTAGTAGTAGTAGTAGTAGTAGTAGTAGTAGTAGTAATAGTAGTAGTAGCCGTAGTTTTAGTAGTAGTAGTAGTAGTAGTAGTAGTAGTAGTAGTAGTAGTAGTAGTAGTAGTAGTAGTAGTCGGA